TGAATACTGAAGATATTCTTGTTAGATGGATGGGCAGCACGCCCAAAGGCATTTGAGGAAAGAACTCACTAAACATTTATCTATGCACAGCCTCAAGCAATTTAAGAGGAAGCTCGTGTGTATGTGTGTGTGCACACATAAGTAGGAAGTAAAGACCAATGGCAAAGATTTTTCTGTTATTTTTTAATTCATGGCATAAAATTCGGTTCGCTCATAGGTACACAGAACTTAATCTCTTTCCTCTGTGTCATTCTCTTCTTTTATAATTTGTATACCATGAAGAGTTTGGAGAAGCCCATTCCCAAGTACAATGGCAGGAGAACAGAAGATCAGGGAAGAAATCCAGTAATTAACCCACCCTGCCTGGCAAGAAACCCACTGGAGAGTAGTGGCTCTGGACAATAATTTGGTGGGGTACTTGGTGGTTGCAGCCTTTCATCTGATATGAACGGCTTGAATGCCAAGAGTTTGATCAGTACGTGTTAATCTAGTTAAAATAGGCACTTTTTCTCAAAATAAACTGGATGCATAATGTATGCATCTCAAATCCTGATTTACAGCTAACTTCAGAGATAAGGATTGAGGTAGAGTTGCATTTAAAACAAATACTTTGCCATTGTCTGTAAAAATGTGGTTAGTCTAACTTCGGGATCTAGTCTTTCCAAAGTCTTTCCCCTTTATATACACATGTACTCACACATATACGTAATGAATGATGACGGCATATAATGAAATAATACTGCACTCTCAAAGCCACTTACCTTTTAACCTACCCGAAACAATACCCATTTACGCTGATTATGTGGCAGCTGGCCCAGCTGCCTTATGACTTCTTTTCTATTGAAGTTGCATTCTATAAGTGACAGAAGCTTTAACCTTTATTTAGGGGGAGAAGCCATTAATCTGTCTTCAGACTTTCCCCTACCTCCCACAGAAAAAACAATTTGCTCTTCAAAAGTTTGTTTGGAAATGAAACTGAATTCTGTGTTTCCTCTACAGATGGTTGACCTCTTTCAGTTGGTGGCTGCATTACTCATTTAAACAATTATACAGGTCAATATAGTGTAATCTAAATTATTTAGTCTCTTAGTGTTTTTCAGACACGACTGACAGTTGGAGAGGCTCCAGCTGCTGGTCGTACCTGGATTTGAACTCCACCCAATGGTAACAGTTTCAGTCTGAATTCCGGAGCCCATCTATTGACAGTACCTACTGACCCACTTGTTAGTCTTGCACGTTGGTCCCGAGGGAGTTATAGCTTAATAATCAATATGCTGACGCAGGACGGTTAAGTATTTTTGAATGAAAAGTTTAAAATGTGTGTGATTCTCAAGGACTCGTTACTACCCAGAAGGTTTTTTCCTTCTGAAGCCTAACTTTAAAACACCTTTCTTTTTTGTTTGTCCCCCACAGGGAGCAATTCAAATCTACCAAATAGACTAGCAAAATATTATGATAACCTTTTCCATCCTAATTTGTACTGGAGGCTGAGTGTGTACTAGGATCAACATTAATTACTGTATAACATTTCAGCAGTGTGGTTCATGGAAATGTCAGGGAGTTAGCTAAAGGGGACTTGGGGTCTTGGAAACATCAGGGGGGAAACAGCTAAAGAACACGTGTTCCACAGGACAATGGGGATTTACAAACATGAAATTTAGGACAAAGATGGAAGTAAAACCCAGGACTAGGGTGTGAATACTCAGCAGATCCAGTAAAAGTTAGGTTTATCAAGGTAGAACAAACACAATGCAATACAATCTGGTGGTCTTTCCACCATCTTTAAATAATTTTAAAATCAGTAAAATTTAGGTTCCAGCAGTGAACTCAACAGCTTGTGAAAATGATTCTTTAAATAAGGGACCTAGTTTGTTAAAGTTAATATATCAGTTCGAATTAATGAATCTTAAATTCAGATTCCTTTTGCAACTTGAATTCAGACTAATTACAGGTTTTAAATTGTCACTAGTCGGAGCTCAGCCAAGGCATATTTCCTCTCTTCTTTACTTATACCCTGAGAATTCATGAATCAATTTTTTTCTGGGTCATGACTTTGCCCCACTAGGAGTAGAGAAAACCCTTCAGTGAGAAGAAAATCCAATGGCAGGGATCCCAGTCAGTCAGAATTTATACGCAAAATGCAAGGAGGTAAACGACAGAGGAAATTTCCCAGCTCTGAAGGAAAAAGGCTTAGAAATCACATATATAATCGAAACAGTAATGAATTTAGTAAATACTTTTAGGCACAGCAGTATCCACTTCTATCCTTGTAATTTAAGATTACTGAGTATTTTAGGAAAGGGACTGTTTTTTTGCAAGCCTTTTTTTTAAACAGCAGAGGTCACCTTAGTACAAACCTCTTCAGGGGGGAAATGGTTTCTGTTCAGTGGTGATAAATTAAGTACTTTTAAACCATCAACAAGTCTTCTCTTATTTCATTGAAGCTCAAAAATCAAACACACATGCTTAGTTGAATTTTTGAAAAGTTAGACAAAATGCAATTGTTTTAAAATTAAATTGCCTTCAAGTCTATATCCTTTTTTTTTAAAAAAAGATTCTTTTCTAAAATGAATGGGAATAAATAATATGAAATAATTTAAATAAGTATAACATCAATTATAGGTGCAACTTGCTTAACAAAATTCCATGTTGTATTTACTGTTAAAAAACTGTCCAATAAATTGTTCTGGCTCAGTTACTGGGCCTTATTTTAAAACGAATTGTACCTATAAAGTATATTCACTAACAAAGAATAGCTAATAGCTAACTAAATGTAAAAACTTCCAAAACAGGGAAAAAAGTTATTCAATAAAGCTCCATTTAATAAAACATGCGTTCATTTAGATAAATTGATAGTAATCTTAATTTTTGTTTTATAACTATTCTAACTTTAAATTATAGTTCATCTAATGTTGCATTGTAAGCTAGTACATGCTTTTATTTTTCAGACATTTTAAGACCAGAAGGTGTACAGTGGAACATTTGCTTTATAAGAGTCCATGGAAAATATTCTTTTTAGTTTATAAAGCTTATTAGGATATACTTTTAATTAGTAATAATGTCTAGTGACAATATAGAATCTAAATATTTAATCCATATCTTCTAATGGACTCAATCTACAGGATATAATCAATTTTAAACAGATACTTCCAATATCCTTGTATTATATATGCCAACATATCACTTTTATATTATAATGAACAACATAACTATTTTGACAATGAGAATAAGATTTACTAACACTTTCCTTTCTCCTTTTTCTGCTCTGTCCTCCTCTCCCAACAGATGACAAAGTTGCTATAAGTTTCAAACGAAGACTGCTGAGACAATGGCCATCGTTCAGTGAATGGAGGGAATATTCAAAGAAATAAAAATGCCCAGGACATTCCTAAAAGCTATTTTAGATTTTAATCACTTTATTAGATTTCTTGCTTGAGTGATTTGTGCAGAAAACATTTTATCTATTTTGTTTTCCTCTGATTACCAAACTGTGTTAGACACAAAAGTCTACTTGAAACTAGCTTACAGTTTAAAGACAGGTTTAATAACAGGTGAACACTGGAAAATATGCAAACAAAATGGCAGACATGAATGACTTCATTTAAGGCATAATTGCTTCTCATCAACCCAAGAAATCATGCAGAAACAGTCTCTGTTTTACCCAGCCAGGAAGAGACCAGAGAAATCACTCAGGCAGAGATACTAAAAGGAAGGTCCATTCTTGGGTCTCAGCCAGACAACCACTCCACACACAGATCCAAGCATAAAGACAATAGTCCTTAGAATCGCAGTTCATCATAACAGATAATTATACAGCAAGTAAGACAATAAGGTTTTTTGGCCTCTGACTATATAGACTAATTGCTGGCTATGGAGCTTTGCCTGGAAGGCATACAGCACAGCCTCCGCAATGTCTTCTTATTATGTGAGGACTGGTGTAATTTGGGTGGACAAGAGGTTTAGTGTCTAGTGAATCTCATATGGTGGCTTCCCCCCCCCCCTTTTGTGGATTTCTTTTTTCCCTGACAGACATATAGTGGTTTTCCAATAGCAGTATTCCAAATAGCAGTAAGCTGACATATTTACCTGGAAGGAGTTTTAAAAGGAAACATTCCTGCCTACTATCCCGAAGAAGTTTTCAGTTGATTTAAAAAATTGATTAAAAAAAAAAAAGATAGAAGAAAATATGACCACTAAAATATAGGGTTTGCCTTTATCCATTACAAAGTATTAAAATTAGGGTAGGATGTTAGGTTTTACTTAAATGCATATGGGTGTCAGCAGATTTGCTGGATAATACAGGCAAACCCCAGAGTTAGCAAACAAACATTGCTTTCAAATATGCATCTGGAAGGAATAAAGTCCCACCTTTATTTTGGTTTTGTCTTGTTTTTTTTGTTTTTGGAGGTTTTTTTGTTCCTTTCACTTTCTAACAGGATCCATTGTGATCGTTTTATTTTATTTATTTATTACCAGGAAAGATGAAAGTTGTCTGCTTTAAAGATATTTACTTATGAGAGCGAGTTCTTGGCAAGATAGCAAGGAGGGGCAGAGGCTCTGGAACAGTGACCTACTCATCCCCCATTAGAAACAAATATGTCTCTCTTCAATTTGTGCGGCCCCCAATGCCAGCCAATTAACTTGAAGTTGGGTTTTGACTCAAACTCGTGACCCTTCAAGCCATAGATCCCTACTCTACATCTAGTGTCATTGAACTAAGGGTAAAAATAACGTCCACTATTGTGTGTGTGTGTGTGTGTGTGTTGCTTCTTTTCCTTGTTTAAAAACAACAACAACAGAAAAACAAACAACAAACAACCCCTCACCCCCCAAATTAATGTTTTCAAGACCTACTGGAGTCCTTAGGATTCCTAGAGCTTTCTACATGATATTTGTATGTTTTCTCCTGTTTGGGAGGGAATAAGGGCTGGACCATAATCATTTTTATTGAATAAAGTTTGCAGTTCATGAAAGGCTTTTCTTGCTCCCATGTACAAGCTCTGGCCATTACATCATGAGCCCTGAGGGTTGTGCTAGAAAAGAGAAAAGAAGGCGAAATCAGCAAAAATAAAAGAGTCTTCCTGACTTGAATTGAAAAATGTGCTTGTTTTTTGTTAAACAGCACAAATTTGCGGGAAGGCTGGCAAGTGTAATAGCATTCTGAGCATATGCTCCCTCAGAGGCACAAAGCCCTTGCTTAAAGAAATACATGCGGAATGTACACTTTGATCCCCATGGTTTGTTAAAAGAAAACTATAGTTTCCAAGCTGTGTCATGTATTTTGAAGTTAGTTTAAGAATTTGATTAAACAGGATTGAATATGCAGTACCCAAACCAATTTTACCTCATTTACTTTTATTGTAAATTAATTTGAAATTTTTTTTCCAGTGCTAAAAGGAAGAAGGTGGATATCTTTTGAAACAAGGTGAGCTGAGTATCAAAAGAAGCAAAAAAAAAAAAAAAAAAAAAAAAAAAAAAAAAA